TCGGAGAATAAGTCGAAAACTGATCAATTTGGTAAACAAACCCTCTTAAGTTTTTTGACCTTTCAACTATGGGATTATTTGATGAATTAATTGGGATTTTGACCCATGCAGCGCTAATTATTCCTTATCTTTCACTTTAATAATGGAAACCGTCCTTATTTTGCAGGCAGTTAAACCCTTCCCGCTCCTTTGAAGGTATTCATGTTCCAAGATGATTATCCCCAAATAGCGACGCAAATTGTTGCTCATTCTGAAGGCTTTTGGCCCATCCAACCGATTTCCATGGCACCGCCCATTCCAGCTCCTGCTCCACCTCCGAGAACGGATTTCGCTGAGCTCATATGGGCTCTATTGATCTTGTTCCGGGTTTCGTCATCCCGAACTTGCCTTCCTAAAATACTAGATTTTGCAACATCCATCCATCCATCCGCCCGTCCGTCCTTTCATCCATACATATGTATATACAGACATACAAAACTTGTGAATGATGTGTACTAAGAATTAGGTAACACGAAGTTATCAATAATCGCATGTGTATAGGGGTACGTTAGGATACTTAAGGGTTACGACGCTTGACAACATTCCTCCGATTGCCACCAATCACTTCTTCCGCCCCGTAGAGTATTAGAATAGACTAAATTTTATTTTAGCTCGCCTTACCTCTGTGCAAGACCCACCAACCACGACGATTTGATCATATTTCTTTGATATTCTGTCCTTCTTTTTTCTGGATTCTGTAACATTTTGGACAGAACTACGGGTGTTCATAGCTCCGCTCGCCTCCTGCGTCTTATAATTAGAACTTGGCCACTCTTCCTTTAGTGAACTTCAACTACTTCTTCCAGATGGTAGAATGTTTTTGAAAAGAATCAAAAAATTTCGGCCGCCTACCTCGGGCTAGCCACGTCAACTAACAAAATGTGATCACTCTTAAATAACCTGTAACCTTTTTATTTCCGTGTTCTGGAACATTTTCAAATAGAAGTGTGAATTTTCGGAAAGTGCACATCCCATTTGAGAGCACTGAAATCTTCGCCGAGTTACGCATGTATAGCACACCTTGAGCCACTTCCAACGCTACAATTTTTTTCTGGCCTTCAGACCCTTTGATGTAACCAAATTCATCCGAAAAGGCTTTTGGCCTACTTCGAGAACTCTTTGCCTACCGCGAAAGAGTATCCTTTGTCTGATTTTTTGACCCTACCCATGTTTTCCCAGCGTGTGTTTTCTGAAACCGAAATAAGTGGTTTTGCTCTTGACGCCGCCTATTTCGGGTATTCCCGCCTTTGTAGGAGGGATTCCGCTTAGATCATATGTGTGGTCATGCCCTAGGCCCCACTCATCGCGAACTTGACCCGACCTCTTCGCGAGCTTCTTCAAGCAGCCCGGGATTCCCTTACGAGTAAACAAACAAACAAATAAACAGCACACTTGTGGCTTATCCTTAGAAAGCATTGTAGAATATAGATGAAGGTGCCAATCTATCACCCGTCGTCCCACTGAGCAGCGATTTTATCGCCAGTAACTAAATTCTGCATTCGTCCTTGTCGCAAGCTGGTTTAGACCAGTAGACTATCCTCGTTCAAGGGAGACCGAGCATTTCAGCAATACTTTTATTTAGAGAATTCGTGAAGTATGACCATCTCGCTTTCGACCTGAATTATCCGAACACATTCCTTATACCGAAGATACAGGTTCCCATAACCTATGCTGGAGAATGAGTACAGCGTTTGTTCTCCACTCAAAGCAGCACATCTTTTGTCGTGGACCGATCGTTTTGCAACAAACTAATGGTCAATGCGAGTATCCAATGAAAAATTCAATCATAAGAAACAAGCTGTTTAGTGTATCATCTGTCGTCATTCTGATCATTATCATCATTTACTCGAGTGGTTGTCGCTGACGTTCCCATTCGTCCTGCTTGAGCCAGTGTAGTGCAGCGGACGTTCCCCCTCGAGGGACGTGATCATTTCCTTCGTTCAGATCTTTCATGAAGAAGATTGAATGTTGGCCATTTTAGAAATCGTTTGACGTCCAGGTAATTTATGCCTCTTTCCGTCGCCGTGAGAGGACGACCCTATCTAGGCGATATGATAAACTTCGCCCTATAACCGCTGCCTAACACCCCACTGATTATTGAATTCAAATATTTTCTGAATTTGATGATTTGTGTGACGAACTTTGCTATTCCAGACAACGGGCCCTGGTGCTGCAAAACAGCTTTAAAGCACTTTGTTAACAGTTTTTATTATCAAGATTCGCAACTTATTATAACTTAGTGAAGCATGAATACCAGTGTACTTCGTTGCTTATAAATATCACTGGAGATAAAAGTTAGAGGAAAAAATAGGAAGTTATCAAAACATTTTGGCAGAGTTTCTCGAAACGACTAAAGCTTTTAAGTACATCAACGGAGAATAAATGATAGTGACAGAGGCACCCTAGGAATGTGACAAGGCGCGTCACAGTATAGTGAAGATCAAAGCTGTACATCTAAATCACAACAGGAATACAATGACGAAAATCACAAAATCTTGAACGATTTTTCAACCTCACAAGCATGTCATATCGCATTTGAAATACGTCGATGAGAGTATCCGAAAGAGAAATGGCATGCAACGTCGTTCACAGAAAATAAACTAATACCGGTAAAGGAATCAGTGGGAATGGTCGTTAATGATGCTGGTGGCTATGACCAAGCTGAGCACCGCGCATCATCCCGAATTGAGTTGAATTATCAGAAGGATGAAGAGAATCCCCATGTTCGTGGTTATCAATCAGGCGAAGAAGCCCAATGAGCGAGAATCCGACCAACATGACAAGTAATTTTAGCAAATTCGGATGCTCGTTATCTCTTTCGTGAAGGAGTACCTAAACAAAAACGAAAGCGCTAAATTCATAATTATAAAATTTACTCAATGTTAACCTCGAAAAATGTGACGTATAGGAAGGTCCCAACAGCAAGGCCTTGNGCGAGAATCCGACCAACATGACAAGTAATTTTAGCAAATTCGGATGCTCGTTATCTCTTTCGTGAAGGAGTACCTAAACAAAAACGAAAGCATTAAATTCATAATTATAAGATCTACTCATTGTTAACCTCGAAAAATGTGACGTATAGGAAGGTCCCAACAGCAAGGCCTTGTAGGATCGTAATAGTAACATCCTTTCCAAAACTATTTTCAGCGGTAGACTGTACAGCCATTCCAATAATAGCTCCCAGAGGTGACATGAGAGCAAGCGTGAACACAGAAGCTACTACCTGAACATTCCATACACATGCACGGATTACTTGCAATAGAGCCACCTTACCCATTGCAGTTGATGTGCGTGCGTACGAGCCAACTGTAGACCAACTGAGAATGCAACTATTAATTTGTGCACGAGAAGGGACAGAAATAATGCTGTGGTCTCTGATGCATTATCCTAGAGAAAAAAAAACTTTCAAAGGAAAACCAGAGCACTTTCAGAATATTCAGTTCAACCACCGAGAAGAAAAAGGCAAAAAAAAAAAGAAAATGGAAAAGAAACGTATTCTCACCCCCACACCGAGTGCGACACCTTCAATAACTGAATGAATCGACAATGCAAGTACGAAGGTGATGGAACGAACGCCATGGGAGTGGGCATGTGGGGACGACTTCATAAGAATTGGAGGGTCTTCATTTACTGAAGATAAACGACATCAGGGGATAAATATGGCTCAAGTCGTTTATACAATAAGTTGGTCAAAGAAAAAAAAAAGATGAATGAACACAACATGGAACCGAGGACCTTAAAATGAAACTGAATACTTACTCTTTTCACAGTTTGTCTCACAACGCTCGGGCTCGGCGACCGCAAGTGATGTGAATATCCTGAATTGGTGAAAAAATGATTAAGGGATAAGGTTTTTCAGGAAAAGGGACATTGAAGAAGCGAAAACAGCGTGTCGAGGGAAAAAAGCACGAACTTTGACTGGGGACCTAGATTATTACTTAATATGATTCATTTACTTTACAATTCTATGTTGAAAGCGTCAAGAACAATGGGTACGGACAACACAAATACATGCACGATGAGACAGAGAGGGGAACAATAGCGTTTGGGTAGGTTAACGAGGGGTACCGGGACACATATACACACCATCGTCTTGATGGGCGTCTCACAACGCCTTCGGTAGGAGTGTAGTGATCCTCTACATTGCCAAGTGTATTGATAGTGCCGTACTGTTGATGACGTCGAAGGGAAGTAAGTTCAGTATACCTATATCGGAAATTCGCTCCCTCGGATCATGATAGACAGTTACAAAAACCCACGTATTCAGGTAAGTTTACGATTTGGGGAGGATGGAGTTGTTTACTTGAATGGGTCGCAACGAATAGAGAGTCGAATGGATTTGAAATTTATTAATAGAGCTGAACATCTCGATAATTTACAAAGGTTCCCCTTAAGCGTGAACTGCCATGCCACCTTTGCCTTACACTTTCCTCCCCAAATCGCACATTAGGCAAAAAAATTCGGGCTGGTTGTTGACAACTGTTGGAACCATTACTCGTGACCCATGCTTTGGCGCAATCCTATACAGTAATTCTTCTCGAAAGGAAGGGAACGACTCATGTCCCGATATACATGGAGAAACTAAGAAAGAGTTGCACTTACTCATTAGATGCCGTGCAATGAGATTCCCGGGGGTCAGAGTTCTTCCGAACCCGATGCACCGTGAGGGGACAATGTTTCTGGCAGTGACCAGCTGCATCTTCCGCATCGTCCGAAGTCAACGTTTTGGCCTGCTCCTTCGAATAATCAGCTGGTGTTTCAACTGAAACATCAATAGCATCAATTCTGAATGATAACACGTTTTCATCAATATTACGAGAAACAAAATGTGCAGTTATATGGCCATGTGTTCTATATAGCTAAGTGAATACGATGGGGCCATCATGGCATGCCGCCTCTTCCCCCGAGAGGAGTCTCCGGTTCCACTCACGCGCTGTAAAGGGTAAGATTTGAAGTTTGAGTCAAACACTACTAGTTGGGAATTCGGGTAGAAAACTGCCAACACTACCACTCAGAAAACGAGTCCAAATTTAAAAGTGAAGCTTAAAAGCTCAGAAATTCCCATTATTTGTAATAGCCACCCTGCAAATATACAGTGGCGTTCCTTTCAGTAGCTTTGAATTGCACCCACGGATCTCCTTCACTAAGGATCCTATCTCATTGAAGGATCCACCTCAATGACTGGAAAGGCCACGTAGTCGGAACAAGCTTTGCCGGGAAGGGTTAATCGCGAATCAGAAGTCACTTGTACTTGCTCTGGGACAGGTCGGTTTCACTTACTCTCGAGCTCATGAAGAAAGAAACTTTGCTTGAGAATTTGAATATTCAATCGAATTAAATTCTTTCCACTTCAAGAGTAATTGCTTCCACAGATAGGGAATCTGGCCGAATGGGGCTTATTGAGAGATCATCACGTAACCGAACCTGAAGACCTAGATTAATAGGATCTGAGTTCTCAATGATGCCCCTATTACGTTCAATGAGACAAAGGATCTGGTCACCAAAACTAAGCGGAAGAACGTTCCGCAGAAGAGCCCTGACGAACCATCGCTGTTGTGCGCGCATGCGATGATCTAATTCCAATGCAGTCAAGTATACTTTCTAGGTTGTTTAAAGGAAAAAGAACATCTTTGTTCGAATACAGCGTACGGCGGGTGGAGTGCAACTACGGGTGGCAAAAGAAATAGTTAAGGAATTCGTTGAAATTTCATCAATAGGCATTAAAAGAGCAACGTTAATAGAGATACATACGTAAATGTTCATCAGCCGCTGATTGTAAGACCCGTCCAGTCATGCAGCAACTGCCCTCTGTCACAGTTAGTGGCGAACTGAAGAAAGAGCATCTGATCCTAACCACAAACTATCAAGAGAGCAGCAGATTACCAACCTTTCACCGAAGCCATGACCATGCCCTCCATGGGCTATAGAGTGAGAATGTGCAAGCGATGGTATTGCCACGATGACAACCTGCAAATTCAACCTTTTCTCCCATACGCTAGCCACTAAGACGTATTGATCTTACCTCTTCAAGAAAGAACAGTAAAAAGAATCCAGCACAACTGAGCAGCTCGGCGATCGGATAGTCAACGTAGAAATTGTACACCTAAGTATTGCTAGGGAGCTACAAGTCTGAAACCGAAATGAAATCTTTCCAGTTCACCTCATCAAGTTTTCTGACATTATCAGCCAGCTCTGGGAAAAGGTGGAGGAAGCACGTAGCCAGAAAAACACCTGCAATGGAATTTAACCCCAGAGCGAATAGGAACGAAAGTTCAGTACGGAAACATCGTGTGGTAAATTCTCCCCGAGAATCGCGGCGCGCTCGCAGTACCCGATCGCGCGCATTCGTGTGCTATGGGGGGAAAGGTTTGAATTCTCATCGGAAGGACATGGATTCGTAGTGGAACCACTGACCGTGGGAACTTTGGGAAGTGCCGCCACGTCGGGAACTCGGCTCTTACAGTAACTTTACGAGAAATTAAAATGCAATGGACGTAGAATTGCACGTACGACATATCTCCTTTTACGGCATATAACTCTATCTGGATACGTTCTTTAACCCTTTACATATACGATGTATCGGAAAGACCTAAGGTGCGTAACTGGCATAGGCGTGGGCTCTGTTGACCACCATATTCGTTTGAGTTCAGGCATACGATTAGGTTAACATAGGGACCATGTTCCCGTACTGAATTTCGGTTCTGCAGGCCTGAAACTTCAACAAACCTCCAGAAAAACAAGTAAGTAGACAAAGTACAAGTGAAACGTGCTTATGCTGTTTTGACGAAGAAGCTCGCGCTGCACTTTGACGTAAGTAGCGCAGAACCTTAAAACGACATTTAGTGGATGAAGGAGAGCGCGAACTCGCTACAGTACTTACCCTCAACGGAGCGAGACCAGCGACCAAAGTTCCACATATCATCACTGATAAAAGAATCAGTTTCAAAACATTCAAATTCATTTTGTTAACGCTGGGTAGCCACCACCTGGTGACTCTCTGAAACGAATTAACATTTATTTTTCACTTTAATTTTTTGTAGACTTCCGTCTTCGAAATTATAAACTGCCGGCTAAGATACAAAAACATACTTCATTAGATTGTACGAAATCATTCTTGCTGCTCATTCTGCTTAAATAATGCAAATCAAGAATATTTCATAAGACTTCCTCGAAAGGGACAATCACAAAAAACTAGCCATGAGGAGTTCCTAATTTTCTAGCCCCTCTAGCCGAGATAGCGTTTCGAAGTTATTCAAAGTATAAGGCTGAATTTACCATGGAATAGTAGCTGGAGTAATCAGCAGCATCACTAGCGACTGATACTCATCTGCAATTGGCGGAGCTGGTGCAATGGCAAGTGGCGCACTATTGCACGCATGACCCAGGGATCGAGCCCCATATCGAAAATCGCTCGCTGCAACCAAGTCTTCCGCCACCTGTGCGGTCGGTGAATTGGTACTAGGCTCATACAAGTGGATAGAAGCACTGACTTGTATATCGGCTAGCCACCACAAATTATTGTATAGGTCAAATAAGCACTCAAAACACCTCTAAAATTCTGGATGAAGCCGAATGTGCGGCTCATCTCAAAACGAGATTGAGTAACGCCCCCCAAGATTTTATCCTTTATCGGCAATAGTCCAACATTGCCTAAAAGGAGCCTTATGCTGAAGCGGAAAGTTGTGATCTTTTTTGGCTGTCTCCCACTTCTCTCGTATGAAACACCTCTTGAAATTTTCCGGGACGCAGTGGTTCTAAAAAGAGTTTCATTCAGGGCACCTTCTGGAGGAGACAGTTGTAAAGGTGAAAAACTCTGCCTCTTCTTTCATTTAGCAAAATTTGAGTCAAGACACGCAGTTTGCTACTGAGTTCTGTTAGCCTCGTATGCGCAACAACCTTACCAGTACCAATTGCTTCCATAAACCCCATTGAATTTCAAAGCTCACTGATGGTTTGAGATCTTCACCTAGACCTACGTTTTTGCTACTCTTTGCCCTGCTTTCCTTATGATTTCGAAGGTCTGCGGCTGCTTATCAAACATGGTGCATGGTGCGATATTCTCAAACTTCCAAATTTCGTAAAGTGGCAAACCAAAAGGTTGTATGGGAGTCGGAGATCACCCTGGAAAAAGGGCTTATTTCTATATGTCTGCAGTGCCCCCCTGTACCATTTCGTCGAAAATGGACAACGGGAGATGTTGACTAATGACTAGATTTATAGGCTACGATGGAGTGAAAGCACTTGAAGACCCTCAAGTAATTTCTCAGCCAGAAGAAATAAAAAGAGAAAAGGTAGGATTGCAAATGCAAGAAGATGCGTGCGCTCAAAACCGTTAGTGGTTGACTAGCCCAATTATCTGAAAGGTTCGACCAAGTATAGATCACCTTGGGTATCTATAATTAGAATGGAAACCAACACACAACTGGAACGAGAGTCCTATTGCTTTCAACGTCTCTATCTTTTCTAAAGAGAATCCCTGATGCCTTGAATGGTGTGAAGTCAAAATCTAATATTATCTACTATCTACTATCTATCTACTTTCAGAGACATCTATAACAGATAGTGATAAGCATAAGCAGCGCTACAACACTGTAGGTAAGACAACAAAGACAGTGAAATCACTTTCTCACCCTTTCCCTTTCTCTCTCTCCCTTTCTTCCCTCCAGGCAGCAAGTGCGAACATTTCACCGTGTGGTGAATCAACGTAATAACAAAGGAGAGGTACCAGGTCACAGTCGCCGTTGAACAATGGATGTGTTCCGATATGCTTTTGACAACTGTTTTCAAAACCGCTAAATGATTGAATCAGAGGTGTAGGCTATAGATGCCCTTGTCATCCCTTGTCAGGTTTTGCTATATTATGATCAATTTCGTGGAAATTTGAAAGTCATTATAATCGGACCACCTTTTACGAATTGTTGTATTCAGGCGCCCTGCAGAAAAAGAAGTACGGTGCCCCATACGCTTGCTTTTCTAGTGCAAAAAACCGTTTCTGCATTTCATCTGCAACACCAACCTCACCCCCAACTATGTCTTCAATTTAATCAAAATGGTATTAAAAAGTTCCATATGGATGTTTAAGGACCCAAAAAAGGTACACCATATCCCAAAACTCTACATGCTCCGACCGCCTCCTGTAAGATTCAACAGAAGGCCATCTATTATTTTTTATGATCAGAGTGCTTCGTGGAAGAAGTTCAGCTTCAATTAAAGGCCAGAAGTGTGTCCATCCGTCCAACAAGACGATTTCCTTGATAACGTTCTGATGTGATACTTGTGTCTACTAACAAACACCTGCGGTAACACATTTCAAACTGTTTCAAGCAAAAGTCATTCACTAGCAACATACACAAAAAGCTGATTACCGCTAAGATTTCCCCTAAACGAGATGAGAAACTGTATTACGAGGAGCTTAACATAGATGGATTGAATACCCTAAATCTCATTTTCTCTCAATTTCGCGATGATATTCAGAAGCATTAGAATGGTATTACCACCTTCCCCTTCACATTTAGAAGGGTAATAGAGAGATTCCGAGACGACGGCCTACTCCATCTGCACTATAGATATGCACCATACTGTGGACTAAGCTGAACTTTGCACTGGTAACAGCTGCCGAGCTGGCCAGTAGCTTTTCAGTATAGAGATTAAAGTTTTTTCTTTCTTATTCTGAAACTGAAATTTAGAAAGCTACTAGCAGCAACTTAGTAGCCGTTACCAGTGTAACACCTGGCGTAGCGAAATTTTCGTCACCCTATTCCCCTTATCATCCTTCGATATATATAATACAAACATCATACCCATCCGATTTACTGAAAAGTAGAAAACGAGGTCAAATGAGAAACAATGGGATTTATTCAATATGACCCCTTAACCCAGCAGTTCTATTACCTAAGTTGATTCCGAGTCTTGTCGCATTCGAAATGGCGGATCCCAATGACCACATGCGTGCATTCGCCGCGGAAAAAAATTTATTACTTTCTCCTTTCATATATCACAAGAAGAGCCGATACCGTTTCAAAGCAAGGAACGCTCGCTCCTCCTTTTTGACATAATTTAATTTCAGAGTTAAAACCAGGCTGCAGAAACCTGTAGTATTTTTTTGATTCTAGGGCCACTCCACGTTACTCAAATACACATGACTTGAGCCGAACTCCGCTCATGAAAGACTATGTAGGGGTATGTTTGGCCTGAAACTCACAACACATGTACTCCTCGACCCAAGCATCTAAATTTGTAAGGGATGCAGACAGCAGTCTATTCCAAGAAAGAAGGAGGTGGCCCAGCCAGCCCCGAGTGATCCCATAGAAGACATAACTCATTACGTACCATATTTTTACAACTCCGGCGGCAGGGCCATTTTGAAGGTCAAGGACATTCTTCTTGACATTTATCAAGCGGAACACCGATATGCCGAATATTTGATAAATAGAAATGACAGAGGTAAGAGCAATGTGACCGCGCGATGGTACCTATGCTCAAGGAAAGCCCCGCCTGACTGTTCCCCTGTACGTTTGGTAGACACGAAGTACACTGCAACAATGATTTGGTCACATATTCACTGGGGTGATGTTTATTTGGAAACCAAGAGTGAAAGAAAGTGAAGGAAGTTCGAGAACAACCCAATAAACCCAAGCTGTTGAACCACCGATCGAAGTGTTTAGGAAGATCAGGATGTTCAAAAACGGTTTTTCCATTGAAGAATAAGCTTCCCACAAGATACAGTACCTCTTAAGAAGATACACTTGAAGAACAAGTTTGCCTATTTTTCGTTTTTTGTCATAAACAATTGTGTCGCTGAAGTTGTAGGTACAATTGAACTTACATTAGGTCATTGAGCTCTACAACATGGTACTTTGTAAAATGAGGAGTTTCCTAAGTGAGAATCGGGTCGAACCATGATCCTGGATCAAACAGGGATCCACAAAAATATCGTGCTCGACTTAATTGCAGGTTCCCTCCATTGTGTGGCCCTTATCTCTGATGCGCGGCATATCCTGATAAATCGACCACATACTTTTTCATCACCAAAGCAAATCAAACGGCTGCAGTGTATTTAGTTCGATTTCCCCGCAAAGTGCTCCCTAGCTGTACAAAGATCAGCGCTTGTGATCAGTTTTGTTTCCGCTCTCAATCCTTTGTTCTTCTCTGTTCGATCTTGCAAGAGCTGGACAGCAGCGAACAATTCGCGGATCGGAGCAAAGTATAGGGGGAAAAGGAGAGGCACCAACTGCTTGAGAAAATCCCAGACCCATTGGCAAGTGATCCTGAGGAAAGTGGACCACTTCACATACACATTTCGCGTCTTACCCTGTGTCGATCACATTTCGCGTCTTACCGTGTGTCGATCAGTGAGAACACACAGTTGAGAATGGAAACAAGTCCCGCTCAGGGAACAGTTTTGTAACCGCGTAATTTGGTTTGGAAGGAAATTGAAGGAGCTCATTTTACAAGAGCGTGTCGCCTAGCGTAACGAGGATGACGAGGACCACGTTATAGAGGATCTGCCAGCTTTCATTCAAGACGGCCACGATACGCTTGCAGTCCTCGATAGTTTATCAAATCCACTGCTATCTTCTTGAACCCACACTTTTGCAATTTCATTTTGTAGAGCTCGCTGAGTTTCAACTGAATTCGAACTTGCCTATGCTCAAAAAAGGTAATTGGTGTTTTCTATTTGATTCTACCATAAAACTGCCTATCCTCTCAACATGGAAGAGCCACAGACATCAGTGGGTGCAGATCAGTAAGTGCCACTGGCGCCATCTAACATAAGGTGCTACCGCGTCAGAAACTTTCTCGTGGTAATCAGTAATTATGAAGGACCCTGGTGAAATGAGCCGACTTACAAGGGAAGGATCCCAAGTCGAAGTGGCTATTTGAAATGGGACCTATACTGCTAGGCGTATTTTTTGATGCTGATTTCAAATCTGCATTCAAAATCTGCCAAACGATTCTCTGAACGAAATTATGGAGGGTGGTCTCCGGAGAGCGCTCAACAGGGGAAAGCACAAAAGCCATGGTCGCCGGCAGCCTAGCAGTGGCGGCTTGGAGTGGAGGTAAGTGTGACGCTTCACAGG